TTTACTAGGGTTTACTAGGGTTTAGGGTTTAGGGTTTAGGGTTTAGAGAGAGAAAACAACGGACCTTCTCAGGCGGCGGGAGCGAGCTGAAAACCTCCCCCGATAGATTTTCTATATTCGCCAGTATACGCGACTGCAGCTCCTGCAACACACAAACCCTAAACCCTAAACCCTAAACCCTAAACCCTAAACCCTAAACCCTAGACTCTAAACCCTAAACCCTAAACCCTAAACTATAAGCTCTATAGTAAACTGTAAATTTTCGTGTATTGAACCCTCAGGCAAATACCCTCACCATCAACGCTAAACCCTAAACCCTAAACCCTAAACCCTAAACCCTAAACCCTAAACCCTCATACAGACCTTGCAATAGGCAGCGGGGTCGTCCTTCGGCAGCCCCCTATACGCTGCAGGCCTGAAGAAGAGAAACAAACCACAGATAGAAACAGCAGCAGCACATAGCAGCAGCAGCAGCAGCAACAGCAAATAGCAGCAGCAGCAGCAGCAAATAGCAGCAGCAGCAGCAGCAAATAGCAGCACAGCAACCGCCAGTGAAAATAGCCAGCAGCAGCAGAGACACAACCCAGAAGCAATCACTAAGCTGCAGCAGCAGCACAAACACAAGCAGCAGCCGCAGCAACAACAGCAGCAGCAGCAGCAACAGCAGCAACAGCAACAGCAACAACAGCAGCAGCAGCAGCAGCAGCAACAGCAACAGCAACAGCAGCAGCAGCAGCAGCAGCCGTACCCCATTGCTAGGGCCTTCACTGCTGCCTGCAGCTCTGCCTTCGTTGCTACAGCAGCAGAACCGCCTGCATCCTTCTGTCACCGCAACAGAACGACAAACCCTAAACCCTAAACCCTAAACCCTAAACCCTGAATATGCTGCAGCAGCAGCAGAAGTTGCAGCAGAAGTTGCAGCAGCAACAGATGCAGCAGCATCAGAAGCTGTAGATGCAGCAGCAGCAGCAGCAGCAGCAGCAGCAACTGCAGTTGAGGGTGCAGCGGCACCTGCTGCGTCTTCTTGCTAGCCGCCTCATCCTCCTTTTCAAAGGGACTGCAGTCACACAGCAGCAGCAGCAGCAACAGCAGCAGCAGCAGCAGCAGCAACAGCAGCAGCAGCAGCAGCGTATCCAGTAAGGAGGTACTCAGGGCTACAGAAAGGCTTTAAGGGGAAGCAAACAAAAAAATAAAACAGAAACCGAGATATTGCTGTTGCAGCTTGCTGCTGCTGCTGACAGTTTGCTGCTGCAGTTTGCTGCTGCTGCTGCTGCTGTTGCTGCTGCTGCTGTTGCTGCTGCTGCTGCTGCTCACTCTTCTTTGTTCATTGCGTTTGCTGCGAAGGTTTCAATTTCTTCGGGGGTCGATGCAGAAGCAACCTGAAAGAAAACACAACAAATGTATCTGCTGCTGCTGCTGCTGTTGTTGCTGCTGCTGCTGTTGTTGCTGCTGCTGTTGTTTCTGCTGCTGCTGTTGCTGTTGCTGTTGCTGTTGCTGTTGTTGTTGGTGCTGGTGGTGCTGCTGCTGCTGCTCGTGTTGGTGGTGGTTCTCAGCCAAAAGAAGTGCATCTGCTGCTGCTGCTGCTAGTGTTTGTGCTGCTGCTTGTGCTGCTGCTGCTGTTGCCGCAACCTAGGAGGAACTGCTGCTGATGTTGCTGCAGCAGCAGCAGCAGCAGCAGCAGCAGTAGCAGCAGCAGCATGTGTGTGGGTCTGACGGACAACGTCTGTGATGACTTTTTCTGCGATTTGTTTAAATTTATTAATTTCTTCTTTTTGTTTTAAATTAAATTCTTTCTGCAGCAGCTCAACAGCAAACTGCAGTGTACATGCAGCTTTGGGTTGGCCTAGACACCCGCGAGCAACAGCAGCAGCAACACGACCGGCAGACAGCTCTTGCTGCTGTTGCTGCTGCTCCTGCTGCTCCTGCTGCTGCTGGTCTGCTGCTGCGCTCATTTCCCCCCACCGTGAGAGACCTGAGGTGTACAGACACCGCAGCAACAGAGAAGAGCAGCTGCAACAGGCATATCGAGAGGGGGGGTTCTGACTGAAAACCAGAGTGAAAAACTAAATAAATGGAAATTATAAATAAATAAATATATTATATTTAATTTAATGAAGAAAAAACACAAAAAATACACAAAAAAAAAAACAGCAACAGCAGCAACACCTGCGTCGAGGCTGTGCTGAGCCTGCTGAGCTGTACGTACACCCCAACCCCGCCTGCAGCAGGAAAGTCGCCGGATTTACCTGTCAAATGATAAAAAGTTACAAAAAGAATTATAAAAAGAGTTAAAGAAGAAACACAAAAACAAAAAAAAAAC